TGGGCGGGAGGCGCTGCGGCAGCCGCGGTCGCCCCCGTATCTCCGTCACCCGTGGAGAGAGCCCAGGGCCGGGGATGACGTGCGAGCGTCTGGGAGAGTCGGCCCAGCAGTGCGAGAAGCGCTACCCGCCGGTTGCCTTAGCGAGCAAGCAGGGGTTGGGGGGAAGGGACAAGGATTTGGCGCGGACGAGGTGGCACGGTAGAGCACCTTCCACGCGGGAGAAGCGACTGAAGCAAGATATCTTGAAGGCTTTGGGCAGCTCACTGCCTTGCTCCCTAGCCTCGACCCCACCCTTGCACATGTGTTGGCGCTGGGTGGCCTGCAGCGCTGCCTCACAGCCCGCACAGTTCCTCTTTCCTTACCTAGCTGGGATTTTCTGGCCATGATTTGTTTTTATCACTTCCCATTTTTAGCAATTTCTTAGTCAGTGTGCCAACACCCTGCCTGTGTCGGGCTTCCTGAACAGGGTTGGCGCTGGGCGCAGAAAAGCCAGGCCGTGCGGGTGCATTTCTGTACTGCTTGATAAGTGGGGATTATCTCTTACTAAAGAGCTGTTCCAGTCATTCATTTTCATCAGTTACCACACTTCTGAACAAAGACAGATCAGCGATCAAATGTTAACATCTTTAAAAAATTATTACCCTGAACAAAGGGTGGTCTGAGAAGATGGTTCAAAAGAGAGAGGAACCATACAGATTTAGCAAGTAAAAATGTGGGGGGGGGGACATGTGGTTTTCTGAATGACTTGCTGACATGGCCATATAGTGGAAAGGGCCCTGCTCTGTGGCTAAATCTGGACTTTCTAAACCCAGTTCTTTCACTTCTCTTGGCTCAGCTCATCAGCTTTGTGAACTTGGAGGAGTCTCTTCCCGTCCGTGGATCTTGTGGTTAAGCAAGCCTTACTGGACTAAAAGCAAGGGTTAAACCTGATGACTTCATGAGATCTTGTCCAGTACTATTACCTGTTGTTCCTTGAAACCACAAACATACCATTCATAAGGGTACCTGGATCCCTCTGGAGTCCACGCTCCCCCAAGCAAATCCCAACATGACTGTGTGACCTTGGGGGAACTTATTTAACCTTGCTGAAAGGGACACAACGCATTCTTCTGTGATATCCAGCATCTAGAAAGTGCTGGATAAATGTTAGTCCCTTTTGCATCCTAGCGCCTTCACCTCCCATCCTAGATTAGCCTGAAGTCATAAAGTCACAAGCATCAGTGATTCTAGTGGGTGGACAGATGCCTTTATCTGGAACTTCTCAAGTGTTTTAGTAAAGGGCTGGATTCTATTAATATTTTATTTTTAATAAAACCTCCCCCCACTCCATAACATAAAGACTTTTGATTCATGTTATGGACTTGTGGAGCTTTCGTTGTTGGTAATATCTGTCAGTGATATCAGATTTTTTTTTTTTTTTTTTTTTTTTTTTTTGCGGCTGCCTGGTACAGGGATTGGACCCTGCACTAGTACCATACTCTAACCAACTGAGGTAAATGGCTAGCCCTTGAATATCCGATCTTTTGATGGATGTTCACTTTTCAAATAATGATAAAATAAGAAACTTCACTTCCTTTTATTCTGTATATAATTTCAAGGGTAGATTAACAATGTAGATAATTCACAGATTGTTTATATTTGATTTTGGAACACATTTTCCATCTCTTTGTTTGGATTTGAGGTCTGAGTGAGGATTTCTAAGTTTCTGGCTCTTTCTCCTATTGTATTGTGTTGGAAAACAAATCCATGACATTGCTGTCTTTAGAGGATGTATGTCCTTGATTAAGGGCACGTCAAAGGTAATAAAAGTTAGACTTTTTGAAATTTGTGTTTCTTAAAAGGTACACATTTTTTAGGCAATTGAGTCTGGTTATACAGGTGTTGGGATCTTTTCAGTCCACAGTGTAATTTTTATACATCTCAAAACCAGGACATTTGTTATTGGGTCATAGACTGTCATACAATTGACTTATTTCAAGAGTGTTTAGTTGCTATTTGACCTGTGGAACTAACTGGGAAGTTAGGAATTTGAGGTGGAAAAACAGGCAACTAGGTCTTTGGCCATTTAACAATATTACAGTCAATTTTGTGAGCTGATGGTGTGTGTGGTCTATTTTTGAANTGTGAATCCGTCTGGTCCTGGGCTTTTCTTTGTTGGGAGCTTTCTGATAACAGCTTCAATTAGTTTTTAAAAAATATTTTTCCTCTGTGTGTTTCATTTTGAATGGTTTCCATTGCTGTTTTAAGATCACTGACCCTTGGCATTGTCTAATTTGCTGTAAATCTTATCTGGTGTATGTGTGTTTTCATTTCTGATATTGTATATGTAACCTTTTGTAGTTCCTCTGGAATATTTTTTTATGACTCCTATTTCTCTCCTTATCATTCATGTTCATGTTTCTCTTTATGTCTTTGATATTTTGATATATCTTTTTTTTTTTTTTTTTTTGGCAGCTGGTTGGTACAGGGATCCATCCCTGGACCTTGTTGTTATCAGCACCATGCTCTAAGCAACTGAGCTAACCAGCCAGCCCTGATATATCTTTGATCATATTTATAAGGCTTATAATAGTGCTTATAAGGTCCTTATCTGCTGATTCTGTTGTTTCTGTCATTTCTGGGTCTGTTTCTATTGACTCATTTTTCTCCTTATTATGGGTCATATTTTTCTGTTTCTTTGCTTAACTGTAATTTTTGTGTGGATGCTGGGTATTGCGCATTTTAAATTGTTTAGTGCTGAATTTTTGGGTAATCCTCTAATGATTATAACTTAAATAATAAGAAGTCTGCCATTATTTTTATTATTTTCCTGTATGTAGTGTATATTTTTCTTTGGCTGCTTTTAAGACCTGAATATTATCTTTAGTTTTTTGCGGTTTGAAGATGATATGCCTAAGCATGGTCCTTGTAATCATGCTACATTATTATAAATAGACAAGTACTTGTAACAACTCAAATATCAAAGAATTTGAGAATGGCTAAGTATTCATTGATATAATGGGGTCACATGGAATAAATATGTAGGTTAAGTTGGTATAAGCTAACATATATGTGAAATAATTTTTAATAAAAAGTAGAACAAACTATTATATACACAAAGGTTTAAAAAATTAAACATATTTGTATAAGAAAATTATAATTTTAATAGTTATATAAATAGTATAAGGTAAGTTTTCTTCCCTTGAATATCTGCTTTTTATAACAGGTTTTTTGAGATATAATTCAAATGTCATAAAATTTTCCCATTTAAAGTATACACTTAAAGTATACAATTTTATAATTTTGAGTGTATTCGCAGGGTTATGCAACCATCTCACAATTAATTTTAGAAATTTTTATCACCCCAACAAGAAATCACACACCTATCAGCAGCTATTCCCCATTTTCTCCCAACTCCCTCCCCCTCACCCCCACCCCTCCATTCTAGACAGTCACTAATCAACTTTCTCTTTCCATGGATTTGCCTGTTATTCACAGATTGTTTATATTTGATTTTGGAACACATTTTCCATCTCTTTGTTTGGATTTGAGGTCTGAGTGAGGATTTCTAAGTTTCTGGCTCTTTCTCCTATTGTATTGTGTTGGAAAACAAATCCATGACATTGCTGTCTTTAGAGGATGTATGTCCTTGATTAAGGGCACGTCAAAGGTAATAAAAGTTAGACTTTTTGAAATTTGTGTTTCTTAAAAGGTACACATTTTTTAGGCAATTGAGTCTGGTTATACAGGTGTTGGGATCTTTTCAGTCCACAGTGTAATTTTTATACATCTCAAAACCAGGACATTTGTTATTGGGTCATAGACTGTCATACAATTGACTTATTTCAAGAGTGTTTAGTTGCTATTTGACCTGTGGAACTAACTGGGAAGTTAGGAATTTGAGGTGGAAAAACAGGCAACTAGGTCTTTGGCCATTTAACAATATTACAGTCAATTTTGTGAGCTGATGGTGTGTGTGGTCTATTTTTGAAAATAAACAGTACTTTTTACTTAGGTTGTGAGTGATAATTCTGTTACCCCTATTTGATATGAACAAGAAAAACCATTACTGGTTAAATACTCTATTTTCTTTTGTTAATGCTGACTAAATGTATTTATTCATTCCTTTAACAAATACTTACCAAGTATCTACCATATATGAGGCCTGTGTGCTAGGCACTGGGGGTATAGATAATGAACCAGACAGCTTTTGCTCTCACCAGGCTTATTGTCTAGTAGAGAAGGCAGTCATTAATGAAATAATCATATAAGTACATATACAATTACAAATTGGTTTTCTAGTACACATTCTTAGAAATGGAATGGAA